TTACAGACATGTCTAAGGTCACATAGTTAACAGTGGTGGCTCTAGGCTCTGGTACTCATCCTACCACATTCTTTCCACTCCCCATACCACAGCAGCCCCTCTCTTCTTAATCACTCAGGCCACCCTGATACATTTCAATTTACTTGGCTTTATAAAGATCAGCCATGACTTAACCATGGAATGATTGGTTTATTTGTATAAAACTGTTACAGTCCTTGATCAAATCATATGTGTTAATCTAGGAATTATCTCCAAACTCTTCCTTGTAACAAGCCACTAGGTCTGCTTTGANGTTCTTCTGTTGCTATTCTGGTCTCTTCTAGTTCTTGTGCTTGTTTCAGCCAAGGTAATGTAGCTTCCACTGGACCTTTTTCTAAGAAAAAAGAAACAAAAACAATGAGCTTAATTACTATTAATCATTAAGGAGTTGGATACGTAATCGTTATTGGCTGAAGATTTCATTAATAAAGAGGTCATGTCTTTTAAATGCAAGCTCAACCCTTCAGCATAATACATTAGGTGGCTCCTGAAATGAATAAAAATTTCTGCTGTATTTTTTTAAATAACACATTATCAAAATGCACCAAAATGATCTCATGACACAGTTGAATATGCTCTCTAAGTTAACATAAAAATGCCTTTGATAAACCATACCAACTTCTATTGTTTGTATATTAAAGCTCCAACCAGAACAGCTTACTTTCTTTTGCCACAAATTCTTTTTGGCCTATTGAATGCAGAAGTTAATAGAGAAAAGCAGAAGACACGGATGTTAAGAAAGGTGGGAGGATGAGAGAGTCCATGATACAGTTTACTCAAACTTTTACTGTCATCGTAGTTATGGAGGGAGACGACTGCTAATTACATCTGGCATGGAGCAACAAACTGGTGCCCCTTTCTGTCCTTTGAAGCCTCCTTAGACATGAAGAAAAAAAACAATCTAGTTAAGAAGTGAGAAAGGAAATAACTTTGGGCTGTTTCAGGGAAATTGCAGACACTGAGAGAGTGGCTAGGAAAGCACTATTGCGTGAAGAAGGAAGGAAAAATGACCTCACTGACCGAGTTACCTAATCAGTGTTCGCACCTGTCACGGCAACTAGTGATTTTTCTGTAAGACAGACACAGTCAAACAATTATTTGTTGAATGGTTAATTATGAAGTTATTTGTATGGATAATGAACCCAAAAATAACAAAGGAGAATTTTACCATCCTCCTTTAAAGTACCAAGGAAGCGTCCTTCTTACTAACACGTGGGAATAATCTTTTTTCTATTTGTTAAATAACACCATTCTTTTCTGTGCTTCTCACAGGTACTGCCAAAGTAGGACTGCTGAATTGTGAAATAAAGAAAAATTCTAGCCAGCTCAAGCTCTCTAGGGTCTGTAAATCCAGGTCATTTGGATACTAAATGTATCATTGTACTCCAATGAGCACAAAAATGTCATATATACTGTTAACTGGCTATGCCCTGATTACTCCCACAAAAGGTCCTGGACTCACGTTGGTTCTTCTGTTGCTATTCTGGTTTCTTCTAGTTCTTGTGCTTGTTTCAGCCAAGGTAATGTAGCTTCCACTGGACCTTTTTCTAAGAAAAAAGAAACATAAACAATGAGCTTAATTACTATTAATCATTAAGGAGTTGGATACGTAATCGTTATTGGCTGAAGATTTCATTAATAAAGAGGTCATGTCTTTTAAATGCAAGCTCAACCCTTCAGCATAATACATTAGGTGGCTCCTGAAATGAATAAAAATTTCTGCTGTATTTTTTAAAATAACACATTATCAAAATGCACCAAAATGATCTCATGACACAGTTGAATATGCTCTCAAAGTTAACATAAAAATGCCTTTTATAAACCATACCAACTTCTATTGTTTGTATATTAAAGCTCCAACCAGAACAGCTTACTTTCTTTTGCCACAAATTCTTTTTGGCCTATTGAATGCAGAAGTTAATAGAGAAAAGCAGAAGACACGGATGTTAAGGAAGTTGGGAGGATGAGAGAGTCCATGATACAGTTTACTCAAACTTTTACTGTCATCATAGTTATGGAGGGAGACGAATGCTAATTACATCTGGCATGGAGCAACAAACTGGTGCCCCTTTCTGTCCTTTGAAGCCTCCTTAGACATGAAGAAAAAAAAGCAATCTAGTTAAGAAGTGAGAAAGGAAATAACTTTGGGCTGTTTCAGGGAAATTGCAGGCACTGAGAGAGTGGCTAGGAAAGCACTATTGCGTGAAGAAGGAAGGAAAAATGACCTCACTGACCGAGTTACCTAATCAGTGTTCGCACCTGTCACGGCAACTAGTGATTTTTCTGTAAGACAGACACAGTCAAACAATTATTTGTTGAATGGTTAATTATGAAGTTATTTGTATGGATAATGAACCCAAAAATAACAAAGGAGAATTTTACCATCCTCCTTTAAAGTACCAAGGAAGCGTCCTTCTTACTAACACGTGGGAATAATCTTTTTTCTATTTCAAGAAGGAAGATAGCTGTCATTAGAATTGGTAATACCTTACTAAAGTACATGGAAATAATCATGTAGACAGAGGAGCATATATAGGAGAGACGATGCCAAGACGTCCTATCCGTGGATGCTACCCATTTCTGCTAATTCATGTGGAACAGATGGGAACTGCAAGAGAAATTACACTGGGGGTGAAAGCTGATTTTCTATGATGCTTGTGTTCCAGGGCCCCTCCCTTGCATGACCTCCTTCCAATTCTCAATTTTAAAAGTATTTAAGATGAGATCACAAGACAAAAATAAATCAAAATACCCTGAAATCTCACTGCTCAAATATGAAAGAAACTCATTATAGGTTTTCTTAAATTAGATTAAAAATTCACATGACATTACCTAAAACAATTTGTAAAGCTGGGACAAACCTTTCGAAACTATCAATAAAAAAATTAAAGAAATTTTTGATCAACCATGATAAAGGATTACCTTTCTATTCTGTTTATAGAAATCAAACTCGCAAAATTGCTGTCATATGCAGAGGCCATCAAAGAGTATTCAGTCAAACAATATAGGAAGAAATATTATAGATGTATTGGGCAGTTAAAATAAATAAAAACATTATGCTATTTTTTTCTGTTGTTTTGTGAAGTTTGTGTTGTCACCATTTTTTTTCTTGAGTTATTTGCTTGTCATTTGGAAGTTACTCTTCCCTGTGAATAAAATGTTTTCATGTCATGAAAATCTAGGATATCTTTTCAATTTATCTACATATGTTGGGGAGTATATATGTGTGTCTATGTATGTTTACCTTAATCAATAGATTTATTTTTTAGGACAATTTTAGGTTTACAGAAATACTGAGCTGATAGTACAGAGAGCTCCCATATGCCCCTTCACCCCTCTTCTCCCCTACAGCTTCCCCTTTTATTAACATCTGGCCTTAGTGTGGTACAGTTGTTGCAACTGAGCTGATATTGATACATCATTATTAACATTAATTATTAAAGTCTAGAGTTCACATTAGGATTGTTGTCAGCTTTTTAAATTTGTAAGTTCTTGCAGTTTTTTTCTTATTCTAAATATTCACTTCAATACCCAATATCTGTGTTTTGTATCAGTTTTTCTTAAAGAAACACCTCTAATCTGTTTAAACTTCAGGCCCCACCAATCCTGGATAGAAGCCTTGGCGGCGGGGAAGGGGGCTGAGAGTTCTTGATGACCTGCATCACGACAGGCACTGTCCTGAATATGTGCTCTCATTAATCCTCCTGACACACTCGCAGGCCAATAGCTTCATTCCTATTTAACAGATGAGCAAACAGACAACCCACTACCTAAGGACCTTGTTCAAGGTCACACAGTTCCTAAGAGGCAGAGTGGAATTCCATCCCAG